GAGCGTGATGCCATGGCACTCTACCCAGGGGGATAGCTTGAGGCTCGGTCTCAAAAAAAAAAAAGAATATTGATTGGTAATAGTAAAAGGCCTCCAAGAAGATGACATCAGTTTACTTCCAGAAGCAGCATTAGGTACATTTTGACAGCACGTCTGCCACCTTGCTGAGGTCTCAGAAACTCTGCAAGCACCCACACAGCTACACAGCAGATCAAAGATCACACACACACACACACTCCCAGTCACCACTGGAGCCTTTTCTGGCCTGGGAAGACAGAGCTTTAGCACGTTACAACCTGGCTTTGTGAGCCTTTCCTGATTCAGACAGCAGCCTTCCCAATTGCTCTTGTTCAAACTTGCTTGTGGAACGCCCTCGAATACCTGCCAGGCTCCTTGCCATCTCATATGCCAGACTAAGGGCACTACAGGGAAGGGAACTGGCAACCCTACCAGGCTGGGCCCTCAGCTTCCATGGCTATAGGAACTGCCTAAAAGCTCCAAGTCCTAACAGGCCATATGGGGTTAAAGCAGAGATTAGATGCTGCCCCTGCCCATCTGGGTGCTGGAGGGAACAGATGAGCCTGGTAAGGCAAGGGGATAAGAGGATAAGGCACGAAGGAGAAGTCTGCCTTCTCAGTTTGCTCTTTAAACCACACCACCTCATTTTGAAATCATTTCTGGTAGAAGTAACTGGCCTGTTCACAGCAGACAGCAATCTCTGCTCAGCTCCACATCTTGTCTCAGAATCTGGCTAGCTTGGCTAGAAGGTCTCCCCTCCTACCAGGTCATAAACTCCTGGAGGGGGCTGTTGTCATCTATCCACCCACCCACAGACACCCTAAGCCCTGCACTGAGACACACACAGTGAACAGGCGAACAGTCATCTGCTGAATCACGACACCAAGGTGGTCAAAGGAGCAAGGTAGGGAATCAAAGACTGCCCTTCACACACTCCCTGGTGCCCTACAACCCAGCACTCACACGCAGGGGTTAGGTTTCTTATGTGCCCTTCCCTTCAGGGGTATCCAACCTTTTGGCTTCCCTGCAACACACTAATGAAAGCTGATGAACAAAAAAAATAAAAATGTCTGTGTATTATTTTTGTGATATCTGCCACCACAGATAAACAAAAAGTCCTTACAGAATCCACATGTGGCCCAGAGGCTGTGGATTGGACACCCTTTTGCCTAGACTGAAGCTGCTTGATGGCAGAGAAGGCCTCCTTCCCTTGCTTCCCAGTACCCATAACTGACATCCAGGAGGCAAGCTGCATTCCTTCCACGTACACGCAGTCCACATATCAGGATAGTGTTCCCTCATGTGACACAGCCCTGCGTGTCGTAGGCCTGATGCTGCAGGTAGAGCAAGGCGGGGACCTTGACACCCCTGTTCACCACAGAGCAGACCACCCTCGTGGGCTGCACAGTCTGCTTTTGCTTTCTGTCTCCCCATGGCTGCTCCGGCTGGAGGGCTCCCTCCCTGCGGTGGGAAACAGATGCATTTGTTAGGCAGAGGAGGTCTAGATTTAGGCTGCTGGGCACACAAGCATCTCGGGTCTCTTTGGAGACTCTGGCTCACCTTGCTAGTCACCTTGCCCTTTCTATTCAGCTATGCTCTGCTCTTTGTCTTGGTCCTACCCTGTTCTAGTCCTTGCATAGCCACAGTGGGGCTGGGAGCCTCTCTTGGTCCATGGGAAAGCAAGTAGGCCCATTGTCTGGACATCAGATTTTTCTATGCAAATACTCCCACTCTTGGTTTTCCTAAGACTCTAATCCTAAGTTTTGGAGAAGGCAGGGTCACCCCTAGGAGTAGGAAGCTTTGAGCAAATTGCCACATACTCACAATCTCTCTCTCTCCCCACAGTGAGGTGCTTTGGGTGACAGTGGCTCCCAGGAACCAGCCCACGTCCCAATAGCCAAGACAAGTAACATTTCCACCAGCAGCAGAGATGTGATAACAGGCAGTGAGGAAGCAGGATGTGCCAAAGGTAGTTAAGTGGGGTTTCCACTCAGCCGGCATTAGGAACTTTGGCTATAAAATGCTCTGACCCTTGGTCACCCTAGACCACCAGCTTCTCATCACTGCCCTCGCTCAGTTATTTGCATAAGCTCAGCTTTCTTCCCAGTGCCCTTCACTCAGAGAATGGGGAATTTTGCTCATCTAGAATCTAATTTTCCCTCTCTAGGACTCATCCCAGGCCTCACTGAAACAGCAGTAAATATTTACAATCACACATACAAGTTCTAGTTGATAACAAGTGGTGACCACTGGAAATTAATCCAGAAGACATTGACATCCAATAAAGTACCAAATACCCACTCTCTTCCACTGCAAGGGGCTCATGTCCCAAGGCCATCCTGGAGAAGGGCACTGGCCTGGCCTCAACCCACACACCACCAGGATGGTTACAGTACACAGGAAAACCTCCAGTATGGTGGAAACCCTAATTACAGAGATGAAGTGTGCCCACAGTAAGACTAAAAGGTAGACCAGGCCCTAAACATTAAAACAAAATAAAAACGTCCAAACTTATGAAAGAAGTGATCACATTAGATCATGTGAAGGGTTTCAGCAGCCAGGACTGAAGCAATGAATGTAAAATAATCATAGTGTTTCTCATCCATCCTTAAAGCACAGTAAGGCTGACAAGAGAGCATGGGTTTAGGTTGACCTTTCTCTCTCTCTCCCTTTCCTTTCTTTCTTTCCCCAGCACTTTGGGAGAAATGCTGCAGGGAGACCTGGCCGTGAGTGTAGGCCAGAAAAGCGAAGTTGGAGCAGAGGAAAGAGGCTGAGTGCCTGCTTTTATGCTGTCTGCCACAGGCCCTCCCTGGGCCACTGCGCATGTGTGTGCCAGTGCACGTGGGGATGGTCCAGGCACTTTCTGAGCTCCTCCTTGCTCCAGCACTCCAAGTGTCTATGGAAAACTTCTGGGGAGCACAAGGATCTCGAGCCCCGGCTAGAGCAGATCCCATCATACAGGCCTGGTAGGGGAAAGTACAGCCCTGTCATGCTGTGGCCAGATATCAAACCCTGGGTGCCCTTGGTTAGGGAGGGGGAAGGAAAAAAGTCAGTGACTTCCCACCCCAATTTTAGGCTGATCCCAAGGCACAGGACCTGCCAATCATGGAGGTGTGGTAGTGTGTTGTGGGAAACAGGCCAAGGCTGCCCTCCAGCTCAGGGTACCCACATTAGAGTTCATGGGCAATGCCCAAGCATATCTCAGACTTTCCAGGATAGCAAATAGCCTCAGGAACTGGCTACACTGCCTAGGAACCCCTAAGAAGTTGGCCCTCTGCCTGTAATGTCCCTTGCCTTCTTTCCATCTAACAAATTCCTACTCATCCTTCAAGGCCTCAGGATATTTCCCTACAGCAGTATTTCATCATAAAAAATTTCAAAAATGTAGCAAAGTAGAATGGATTTTGCAGGGGATCCCACTGGATCTTATCATTAACATTTTACAGTGCCAGCTTTACCATGCCTACCCATCCACCCAGAATGTTTTCAGGGGACCCCTGATGGCCTGTCCCTCTTCAAGATTCCCAAAGCATGGAGGCACACGTCTTTTTTTTTTTTTTTTTGAGACAGAGCCTCAAGCGGAGCCCGAGGCACACGTCTTTACTGCAACTCCCTTCAGACTGTCACAGAGCTCCCCCTAGCTCCTCCAGCAAAGGCTAACCAGCCCCCTGGCCACCCCAAACAGCAAACCCCCAGGACAGATCAGGCTTCAGGGGCAATGCACTAGATTCAGAGGACAGCCAAACCGGGTTTCTCAGGAGACCTCAGGAAGTATCTCTAAGACACAGCTACAAACACCCTGAGCCCAGTGGGAAGCACCAAGTGGGAGAGAGGGAGTGACCTCAGTCTCCTCACAGAGCATGGCTAGCTACTGGGGACCATGAGTGGGGGAGCAAGTAGCTCATGACCCAGTATGCTGTCCAAGTCTGCCGTGCTCTCCAGGCTGCTGTGTGACGTGAGGGATGCATGAAGTTCTGCACAGTGCCAGCGAGCTGCCTCCATGGCAGCCAGGGCAGCTCTGCTCTTATCTATTTTAAACATTGCCAGTCACTGTACAGTTTTATCTCTAGTGGAAAGGGTTCCCTTACTTTCAAAAAATGTTTGGAAAGCATTAGCTGATATGATCTTGGCTTGGAGGAAGAACGAGACCCAAGAGCACAGGTTATACTGATCTCATCAACTCTGGGCACCAGAAACATCTGCTTTGGCCTTGCATTCTCTGCCTGTCTCCCTGCTGCCTTCCCGCTGGGGTGGTGGGTGAGACAGTCACAACCGCACAGGTACAGCCCTCCATGCCCTGACCCTGGAGGAGCATCCTGACGGCTTTCCAAAGCACTATGCCTAGAGATAGGCCCCAAGATTCTGGCCTTGGGCTTCTGCATTGGGGATCTCCAGGGGTCTCTGAACAAAGACAGCTTTACCACCTCTTGACTTCAGCCTTTTAAGTGACCTTCTCAGAAAGAAAGAAGAAAGAAAAAGACAGGAGACGAGAGGAGTGTCAGACATTAGGATTGATTCCTGCCACTACAGGGCCAGCTGGCTGCCCACACGGCCTCTTGTGCAGTCATCACAACCAGACTTGCAGCAGGTTAAGCTGAGACTCTTCTTACCCAGACAGAGTGACCTGCTTCCAGGCCTAAGGCATCTGAGAGCCTGCAGCTTGCCTGGGTCACCCTTCCTACTGTACAAATGTGGGGACGGGCTTGGCGCCTACAGCACAGTGGTTAGGGCACTGGCCACATATACCAGGGCTGGTGAGTTTGAACCCGGCTCGGGCCTGCTAAACAACAATGACAACTGCAACAAAAAATACCTGGGCATTGTGGCAGGTACCTGTAGTCCCAGCTACCTGGGAGGCTGAGGCAAGAGAATCACTTAAGCCCAAGAGTGTGAGGTTGCTGTGAGCTGTGACGTCACAGCACTCTACCCAGGATAACATAGTGAGACTCTCCCAAAAAACAAAACAAAAGAAAAGTGGGGACAGGAATTCCCAAACAGGGAGGATTTCGGTTTTGGCCACCTTCTATCTCTGCTTCTCAGCAGAGGAGAGAAGAGCTGGTCAGATGTACAAAAGCCCTCCATCTATCATAGCATTTTAGTAAATACCCTTTCTTTTCTGTCTAATTAATTCCAATGCCTTTATCTTTTCTTCCAGGGACATTCTCATCCTTACCTCACAAAACAGTCTTTTAATCATCTTTATGGGTTTCCTCTGAGCCCTCTGTAAGTGAAGGAACATGGAATAAAGACCTGAAGATTTGTTTTCTGTTGCAGTAGAAGAGAAGAGTGGGAGAAGGAAGTCTTTATTGATGAGAAAAGGGGAATAATGAAGCTAAACTTACAGAATAAAACTAGATTTCTCTGAGAAAATGGTCTTAACCATTGAAACAACATGGAGGAGGGCTTCTCTTATTATCAGACGGGCAGCCACAGAAGAATGTACATTTTGGCTGGGTGTGGTGGCTCACGCCTGTTCTTAGCACTTTGGGAGGCTGAAGTGGAAGCATCACTTGAGGCCAGGAGTTCAAACCTGAGCATCATGGCAAGACCACATCTCTATCAACAAAAATAGAAAAATTAGACAGGCACATGCCTGCAGCCTCAGCTACTTGGGAGGCTGAGGCAGGAGGATCGCTTGACCCCAGGAATTTAAGGCCTAGGAGTTTAAGCCATGACTATATCACTGTACTCCAGCTCAGTTGAGACCCTGTCTCAAAAGAAAAAGAAAAAGAAAAAGAAGAAAGAAAAAGAAAAAAGAGAACACACATTTTTTGCATCATTGGATTAATTAAAAGTTACTATATTAATTGAAGACAGAGCTTGAAAGGCTAAATTGGGAGAGACAGAAGGCACCAGATGACAAAATCAGGAACTTTAAAGATTCCGGAAAGTGGACTTATGCTGTCAGCAGCTAAGGGCATGCACTTTTTCAGGGGCAGGGGCAAGGTCTTGGATTTCAGGTCCAGACCCTGGTGTCCATGCACAGGATGAGGGAGATACAATTTAACAGCCACACACGACGGAGACAAAACAGCATTTGTACAGTTGATGGAAGCTCTCCATTTTACCTGCCCACCTCGTATAAAGAGCTGCCTATTCATCTCCATGGTGGGCTGCCAACAGCCACATTTGTTCCATGTAGAGAATGGGCAGTGGGCAGGACTCATGGTAATCTTTGAATATTTAAGGACCTGCCCATGAGAAAGAGGACACAGTTTTGTTGTGTTGTCTAAGAAACAGACCACAGGCCTGTGCCCAGCCCTGTGCAAGGTGCTGGTGTGGGGAGAGTGATCACTCCAGTCATCTGAGCAAGAAAGCGGCTCAGAGAGGGATGATAACTTGCCTGGTGTCACCCTGCTCATCAGTGGGAGGGCAGCACAGGAACTCAGTGATTCACAAGCTTGTGGTTTCTCCGCGCTGCTGTGCTGCATCCCAAAGTCTAACCAAGATGCCTGTTTGAAAACAGGCTGTGAACTGCCTGTCCTTAGGGTAAGAAGAGAGACCAGGCAGGCACTTGATAAGACTGCAGAGGAAATCAGAGTGTGGGGGCAGAGCCGGGCTAGCTACCTAGAAGGTCTCGCTCAACTCATGGAGTGAAGGATTTGCCAGAGCCAAGAGGAGGCATCGCTGTGCTCAGTCCAGGCATCCTCAGGGGCTCCAGCTAAGCTGACTCACAGGTGCTAGAGTGGCCTCAGCCTCTCCTCTAACACTAGCCACCCACCCCCAAGTCTGCAGGCAAGTCATTCCACCATCAAGCTTCTGTGCTGCTCTGGCTGTGCTGAGGGAGGCTATACTTGAAAGAGCTTTGTGATGCACAGAAGGCAAGTGGGGCACAACCTGCCCACAGTTATGACCAGCTACACCTGTGCATCCTGGGCCAGCACCACCAGTTACCTCTTCCCGTTCTCTCTGCCCCTACCCAGCAATTGACACACAAGTCAGGAGCAGCATCTGTTGGCAGAGACATCTGAGTTGGTGACAAGTGTATCCGTTCCCAAGGCCTTGGCCAGAGCTCTGGACTGTTCCTGCCCTGAGCACTCTGGCTGTCCTCCAGCCTGACGGAGGGTCCTGGGGATGCATTCTGACCCCAGCACTTTGTAAGCAGACAGCGGCATTTTCCCATACATAAGGCTCACTGTTCACGGTGGCTCAGACCCTGTCCACTGGATTCTGACGCTGGGGGAAAAAAGAGGAGGCAAGATGTCAGGGATGATAGAGGAGTGTGGCCACCAGCCAGGAGAGCCATGTCTGTGCACAGCTGTTCACAGTGCTACCCAACTCCCAATCTCCTGTGCTAGAAGGACAGCCTCCTGCTGGCACCCAGAATCATTCTTTTTCTGTTTGATTTATAAGACAGCAGTGAGGGCTGGTAAGCTCAGAATTGGAACAAAACAGAGGGAAGGAAAACGTCATGGGAAGCAACCTATTTTTGAAAACTATGAGCAGACGCCAGGAGATTAGATTCTGTTTGTCTTGGCTGATGGGCTTGTTTCTTGTTTTAAAAAGAAAGACAAAAAAACCAAAAAAAAAAAAAAAAGAAGAAGAAGAAACCACAGTCACCCTCCCCCACCAACACACACACACACTCACGGTGGCGTATTCCTGCTGTCTGGGTCTGCTCTGGCTGTCTGGAAGCATCTTGGCTTTATTCAACACTACTCCTACTGCCAGGAGCTCAGCTCTGTCCGGAGCAACCCTGTCAGCAGGAATTCCGACGCTGACACAGCACAAAGCTGCCTCAGAGGCCTCTCAGTTTCTGGGCTGACCTCAGATTCCTGTGCATCTGGCTAATGCGGGTAAGACTGGGGATGGGGGCCAGTGACAATGCGTTGAAGTGAGCTGTGGCCCAGGGGCATGGCACACTTTCAGTAGCACCTGCAGAGCTGAGGCAAGCTCAGGCTGAGGCAAGTGTCAAGAGAGAGGTCTGGGAGAGGCCACTCACAGCTCCTCACTGAGGCTGGGCCAAGGATATTAATTCGGCTTCAAGAGCAGCCTGATGTGATGACATGGAGACGTGCTGTTTCCTAGCCTATCTCCTGCACCACACCGTGAACTCCTCCACAGCAGGGACCAGAGCCCCTGCCTGCTGTGCCCATAGGTCTGTACTGTGCTAGGTCTGGAGTAGCCCTGTGCCCTCCCCCCATGGGAGCTGATGGCTTTTCAGTAGGAAGGGGCACTATAAGTAGTAGCTGGGGGCCAGATCGAGGAACCCCAGGCACATGCACTCCTCAAGGGCAGGGTTTCCTCAGGCAGCAAGTGTGTGCCAGGAACAGGTGGGAGGTACAGCATCCAGGGCGGAGACTGATGACCAAGGACTGGACAAAACAGCAGCAGCAGTAGCAGCTGCAGCAGCATCAGGCACGTCACAAGGCACCCACACCCAGGTCACCACACTTATGCCAAGTCACTGAGCCTGTGTGGTTCCTGACCTAGTGACTCAAGCACCTTGCCCCAGACAATGACAGTTCACACCATCCTTTCTCCACCCTCTAGAAGGCTACTGCCTCTAAAAGCCAACACAAGACAATGGCTTCTGCCCATCTGTAAGGCTGAGTGTGAGCTCATGTAGATTTAGTCCCTGTCAACAGGAGGCCACTGGGCCCATCCCTCCTCAGGCTGCAGCCCCGAGGGTTCCTGCGGCAGGATGCTGCCACTATAGGCTCAGTGGCCTCTACAGGATGAGGCCGTCCTCACCTGCAGCAACTCCAGGTCAGACGAGTCCTCCTGTCCAGGTACCATTTCTGTTAACATCTCAGACATGACTTTAGTGTTTCCTCGAACAACATCCAATTCACTGCGCAGCCTGGCAATCTGTCAGGGGCCGTGGGGAAGGAGAACAGGAAGGAAAGGTCAGTCGGCTTTCACCTTGAGGTGAAAGCAAGCAGAATTAGCTTGCTCCTCACTGGTGACAGTCCCCTCACTGGGAAATCTAGGACTCTCTTCTGAGTAGGCACTGCAGAGGCCACCTTATCTCTCTCCAGCCTGCCTGTCAGGATGGTGGCCACTGACAGTCTGTCACAGTGCCTCTCTGCCCCTGATGCTGAGGTAGCACTGTGCATGACAACACAGGGTGGGAATGCACGACGCAGTCTCTCCACCGTGGCTCTCACTGCAGGACTGTGCATAGGAACTTAACCTCTAAGGGCCTTTGTGCCTGCTTCTAAAATGAGGGCAGGACAGCTGAGCTGCCTTTAGTACTGAGCTCCTAGTCTACAAACCTCAGAGTTATAGATTCTGCCCCTAAGAGTTTTATCATCTAAATACCATGATCCTCTGAGAGGCTGGCCAGTGTCAACAGAACTTTCCTGGCATGGCAAGATAGAGAGAGGAAGAACAGGAGAGGATAGGGCAGACCACCTCTCTAGCCAGCTCCCTACCTGGTCTCATGGTCCCTTGAAAAATATCCAAACTGGCTTGGTGCCTGTGACTCAAGTGGCTAAGGCACCAGCCACATACACCTAAGGTGGCGGGTTCAAATCCAGCCCAGGCCTGCCAAAACAACAATGATGGCTGCAACCAAAAAAATAGCCGGGTGTTGTGGTGGGCGCCTGTGGTCCCAGCTACTTGAGAGGCTTAGGCAGGAGATTCGCTTGAGCCCAGGAGTTGGAGGTTGCTGTGAGCTGTGATGCCACAGCACTCTACCAGGGGGATAGCTTGAGGCCCTGTCTCAAAAAAAAAAAAAAAAAAAGAAAGAAAGAAAGAAAGAAAGAAAAGAAAAATATCCAAACCACCCATCCATTAGCACTCCTCAAAGCTGAGAGCTGAGCCAAGGCCTGAGCTGCCTCTCCTACATCAGGGTATGGTTTAGTTCAGCTCCTTTACTCTCAACCCCCATAAGGCATCTGCAGAGATCACCAGGACCTGCCTTGCACACAGCAAGGTGCCATAGAAGAATCTGCGTGGGAACATTTGATGGTCTTTCTGATGGGAGACTGACAGGTGCTGAGTGGTGGTCAAGAACTAGCCCTGGACCCTGGAAGCAGCCCTAGAAGACTCAGGGAACACCCTTAGGGAACATCCAAAGGCTAACCTAGATCTCTCTGACTTTAGTTGCTTCACTACGGAAAGGGGCAGTAACAGCCTACCCCATGGGGTTGCTGTGCAGTGCCTACATGGGACCAGCACACATGTGTACCCTCTGCTATACACGCATGGCCTTGCTCCTCCTCTGACGTCCAAGGAACAGAACGTGGTGTCATTCTTCCTGTGCTGTGACCCAGCTAGAGCAACACATATGCTCTGTGATGCCTTCTCTGACTGTCCCCTGCCCTCCCACTTCCTCCTTCCAGCCTCACTCTCCATGCTGCCCTCCCCTATGCTGTGTAGACCTGAAGCACCTCAGGGCAGGAATGTGGCTGTGTTGGTTCCATACCCTCAGCACAAGGACTCAACCGATGGTCAGCCAGGGAGATGGTCTAGGCCCCAAGATGCTCTTGTCAACCTCTGGCTCTGCCAGAGGTAGATGGTCAAGGGGCCTCCTCCAAAGTCTGGGCTAAGAAGAAGTTTCTGGCAAGGGAGGCCCAGGAATGCTCTAGTTAGTGACCACATAGGGTCTGAAGCCTTAGGGCCTCTTGGCCAGGCTGGATGCTACCTCCTGCCTCTGCTTCCATCATCCCCTAGGGATGAGACCTTGGGGGACCTTGCACCCATACCCCTCACCCATTCTAGAATCTCCTCTCAACTGCTCTGGCCACTGGGAAGGCTTCTCCTCAGCACACCCTGCCCGGTGATCATCCAACTCCTTCCCTCAGAACAGAAAGGGCACAGTACAGCCCATAAAAGACTTTCTTCCCCATCCCCTTTTTGGCCATTGTGGGTAATGAGGAGCAGCTTCCAGTGAACAGGCCTGCAGTTAATGCAAAGCCCAGCATCAGTGTGAGTTAGGACCTCCTCCCCCAGCAGCACACAGTACCTGGGTGGCCACTGTGAGCATTCCTTCCTTCTGTCTGTCAAGCCCACAGCTGGCCAGGGGGACAAGAGGGGAGCATCACCTGTTCCACTGATGGGAGACTAAGGTCAAATGTCCTGAGTGAAGGCTTACAATGAATAGCAGAGTGGGGGTCATGGCCAGGGCTGTGTGACTTCTAATTCACATCTGCTGCTTGTTCCCCACAGAGAAGTGAAGGGGAAGCAGCCCAGGCACACACTGCCAGTATCCACATAGCCACGTGAGGTTCTATGACCTACCATTACCACAAATAGTAATAAGGACTTTGCAAATATAAACAACAGGTAGATCTTTTTTTCTTTCAAGTCTAACCAATACTCAAATTTTAACTAATGGGAATTCTTTTTTT